AAACATTTAAAAGATAGGAATAATGTTTATAACGCAATAAATCTTAATTTACTTTTATAAGAAACGTCAATAATAATATAATAGCCACTGGCACTATAATCATTAGTATATGTTTTTCATATGAAACTTCTTGGATTTTTCCATTAAATTCAGTAGGCTTAATACTAATTCCAGTGGTACTCGTATTCACTGTAACTATAATTGCATTAAATATTATACGAAGTGTATTTTATGACATGCAAGATGTAATGAAATTTTCTTCTTTACATGTATGATTTTTAAGAGGTATAATCTTTTGATGAAAAGGTAATACTTTTAAAGAAACAGTAAATTCCGAATGACAATTTTCTTCAGATGTTGCCAATTTATGTACAAGTAAATAAGAAGTATAGCATGAATAAGGGCAGTGAATATGTTTTTCCTTACTTGTGCCTTCTTCTTGATCACCATTAACTTCACTGTAAGATACACTAGATTGTTCTTTTACGTTCTTATGACTGTTCCATTTTAGATGATATATTTTGCCTTGAATGTGCTCAGTTTCATAGGCACTAGATTCTTTATATTCTGCATGAAAACGTTAATTAGTACGCATAATTCTATCAGAATATTTTAGATTATCTGCTTCAAAATTCGCGGAATCATTAAACTGAGTGTTCTAGCAATTTAGAGAAAAAAAAATATTATATATATTTTGTAGTGTGAAGAATTCCATTTTAACATGTGGAATAATAATTATGATTTATAGAAAAATGCTGTATCTTACTACGATCATCGCTAATGGGTATTACACTGTTAGAAGGTTCGTGAACATCACATTTACCAGAGCAAGTTTTAATAAAATGTTCTGCATCACTAGAGGGTTCTGCAGAAATAAGTTGACGATCATCATTTGACATTGAATCACCTTTATTATCACGAATTTGCAAAAAAGACTTTCTGGGAACTACAGCATTATCATCTTGTAGTTCACTTTGAAGATAATTTTCGTTTAAATAATTTGCTTGAAATGTACCAAGATCACATGATTTACCCTCAAGGTTACACCTTGAAGGATCATTTTTACGAGCATCTAACTCAGTAGTTTCTTCGTGATGTGCGCCATATATAGGTTGTAGCGCTCTTTCTGGACACTTAGATGTATCAGTTTGTTGTCTCAATTGTGCTAGTGGTTTTTCTTCAAGAGTCACAATTTCATTCCCGAGCAAAAATTTGTCATGCTGATCCTGATGAAATACTTGTTCATTTCTTGAATTATCTACTTCAGTATATTCTCTTCCATCTTCTCGGGAACGTTGTTCCTCTGAAATGCTAGTTGTAGGGGAGCCTTCATCAAATTCTTTTTGTAAAGCATCTTCTTCTAATTTTGTAGATTTGGTTTCATGCTCACTTGCATCGCTTTGTTCAAATAAACCTTCTTCATCACGTTATAACTTAGTATCCTCTTGTCCAAGAATTTCTGTATTATTAGTATCCTCAGAACATTTCTTACATTTTCTTTTTAAGCTCTTTATTTTATCATCATTATGTATATGTAGGTTTAAGAGCCATTTTGTTTTACATTCCTCCAATTCATTACTTTTTTTGTTGATATATTCATTCAGTACTTCGCATTCCACTAAATTTTAGTATAATTTTTCAACTTCCTCTCAAATGGATTTAAGAATGCCTATATATTTTTCAATACATTCATCCTGGTCCAGAGAATTGCTATTTTCATACGTCGAACACGTACATTAGCCATTTTGTATGTATTAATTTTCATTTAGTTTTGTTTTTTCAATTCAACAAAAAATTTTAAAAAATTATTTATGTACGTAGACAAACCATAATTATGGTAATTTACAACGTTGTAAAATCACATTAAATTTTCTTGCGTTTTGATATTTAGAACATATGGAAATATGATTAAATTATGTAAATTA